CTCAAACACTCTTCATCTTTCTGGTCCTCTGATATGGACCACTTGTTTTCAAATAAAAGTAAAAAAGAAAAATCCCTGAGGAATCTATTTACAGTTTTTATTTTTTTAAGAAAAAAAAATTGGTAATGAAATCAACTATTACATATAACAGGAGGAAAGGTACTGGAAGCAAGTTGTATTCTAGCAACAGCTCCCTATCATTGGAAGCAATATCATGGGAAGCAATAGTATTGATTGGAATAGCCATTGACCCATTTAACTGTGCACAGATCGGATTGCACGGGACAGAGCTCCTAAATTAGTACATTTAATTCTTAGAATATTTTTGTTAAAAATTAATATGTTGCTTGTTTGAAGGCTCCAAATATGCTTGTTTACCACAGTCAACTCTCCCCACCCATTAGGAGCCCATTTTGCTGGTGTGAAGTAATGGAGTTGAATATCTGATCAATTATCTTAGAGGCTTAAGGAACAATGGACAATAACAAGAGAGCCTGAAATTCCAATGTTCTGGTTTCAGGCTTTAGGTTTGATAATATAGTGTGAAATAATGGAACCAAATCATCAATTGTTTGAAAACTTTAAGTTTATAGAAATGGGTTAAACTAATCATTTTTATCTTATATTCTAACTGCTATAATGCAGGAAAGGAGACATCTAAATTTCCGGTTATCATGTTTATGAATGGGTGTTCATGAAGGTTGTCGAGAATCAAAACATTGTTATTGATACTCTGTGATGTGCTTTACAGGTTGAATGCAGGGAAGAGAGCTGCATGGGGGGGGATTATGTAAAATCTACTCTTCCATTTCATGGTTTGTCATTCGATTTGAAAATTTGAACTAAAAAGTTTAGTTTGAATCCTGTATAAACTGTTATATTGTCTATGGCTCTAGATTCTCTGTATAAGTTTTAACCATTAGAAAAAAAAAACGATTTTCAGTTTGCTCATACAGACAAGGATGGCTATATGTAATTATTTGCTTTTCTGTTACTCTTTTGACTGCTCTTTTAAAAATACTTTTGGCTGCAGAATGTTAGTTTGTAAGTTTTTGAACTTCATTTCTTGCAAATTCTAAACGTTTGCCTATTACTGCTCTTATATTTTAGGATTGGATTTCGAACTCACTGCCTTATTTGTCTGCACTCTCATTTTCACTGCAGCAGGTAATCTCTTGGAAGCTATTGAACTGCTACGAAAAAAGCTCGTCAATTTGAGGGCTCTCGGGGGTTTTCTTCCCGAGGCCCATAGTCACAGCTCACAGCGGTCAACTGTCTTTTAATCACAGCTCTCGAGCAGCAAAGGGACATGAACCTACCTGCACGGAATATTTCAACTCTTTATTTCCATATTTGTGACTATGGTAAACATATAGTTTTCTCACACAGTACCTAGTGTAGATATACATTAAATGGCATTGCACAAACTAATTCTTTTTGGTATTAATATTATCTGTGGCTGCAAGCTCTTCAGGTTTCAGTGTCATTCTAATGCAGTCTTTTAGTTGTCAGCCGGACATTGCCAAAGCATTAACGTAACTTTAGCGGACAGTACTTTTGTGGCTATGGCAAACGCGATTCTACCGGACAGTACTTTTGTTGAAAGGAAAACCGGGAAAGCGTAACTTTGATGCTATTAATGTTTTTTTTGCAAGAGGGCTGACCTGCTTAGCAAACAAACCACATTCTGCCCACAAGATCAAGCAGTAAGAAACAAAAACAAAGGGACTTTCATGGAAGTTTCCAAGAACTATCGTCTCTAGTTTTGGAACAAGTTTGGAAGATTCCAGGAAGCTTCCTAGATAGGGAAAGAAAATTATGAAGCTTCATGGCTCTTGGCTCATGCAAAAAATCCCAAACAAAACCCGTTATGGTATCTTTCTAAATCTTATTAACTGATGCTTCGTATTTGTACGTGTGTATGTATGTTTTCGTGTCTATACATGTTTTCACTAATTAAGTCAATACTAGAGAATCCATGGTTTCAGAACTTGTACATTCGCCTAGCTATATTTTATTCGCACAAAAATAATTTTATTTTTTAAAAGACTATTTTCTTTGCAAAATACTCGAGTTCTCATCATACCAAAGTTATTGGTACAGCATACGAAATTTGGAAATCAAAATTCAATTAAAAATAATTAATTTGAAATAAACTCGTTATAAATTCGTTAAGAGGGAGATACTAATCGTCTGGCCAAGAGATGGATTGTAATAATTTATTAATTAAATCTAACCATTCAACCCGCAGAGAATTTGTAATAAATTCGTTAATTAAACCTGACGAACGAAAAATATAATTTTGAGAAATTGCCCAAAAGCCCCTCTCTCGTGAAAAATTTAGCGTCTTTGAGCCCAAATAGAGGCCCATTACTGTCGAATTCCCCCCCCCCTTTCTCTCCGGCCGAATTTCAAACAGCTTTCAAATTTCCCTTTTCACCAGCACTACAAACGCCGCTATTCATGGCGGGTAAATTTGGCGCTGGGTCTAGTTCTGCTCTCTCGCACAGTCTAACCAAGTTCATCCTCCATTTCACATGCCAAATTGCGCGAAGAAGCGTTTTACTCTGGCGTTTCTTGAGCTCCGCAATCTCCGAAAAAATGGAGCGGCAACGAGGACGGTTTTCAGAACAATAGCCGTGAGGTTAAGGTGCGAAAACCGAAAAGCTGGAATCTCTAACAACAGCATCCAGCAATAACACTCTGTTCAGATTCGAGAAACCACCGGAGAAAGCTGTTTTGTTTTTTTCCCTACGAACTCTAGGGCATACTGTCCGGCCACTACTCACTCACTCTCCAGGTGATTATCATCATTACCATCCCTATCTTCACATTTGATGAAATTAGTTTCTTATACTTCTACAGTTGAATCAATAACAAAAACTAAATCCACGAAAAATGTATAGATTAGAAACTGATTTGATTTATTTGATCTGTTTTTCGAACATTTTTTTATAATATATAATATTTGAGTTATCTCTGTCCTTTGCTCATGATAATTCATTCATAATTCATCTTACGTTAGTACAGGAAATTTAAATTAAGATTCTGAGTATCTGACAATAACAAATTGTGTTCTAATGCATAATGCTTCAAAACAAAAATTTACTGATAATTGAATGAAAATTGAATCAAATATACAATAAAGAAATCAGAACGTTGGTAGGCAAATTGTTGAGTCTGTATTTTAGGTTTGCTTAATAATGTTCAGCTTGAGTAATTGTTATAAAGTATAATAATAGATTTTAAAATATTAAAAAATTACATAATAATAAAAAATAATTACTATAATTATTTAAATAATATTAAATATGTTTCTTTAAATTTATTTTAGTTTAATTATTCTATTTAGTATGTTTAATATGATTGCTAAGTAAAAATATTTAGTTTATAATAAATATAAGTTATTAGCACTAAATAATTTTCATTTTTTTTACTTTGAAAATATTAAATTATTAATGAAATATAAAATTAATAAAGATGTTATTTCTATATTTTTATTTCATTTTACTAAAAAACCATTAAAATAATAAGACCTTTCATTTTAACAAAGCATTTTATATTTTCCACTGGTAAATTCATGGCTCGCAAGTCACGCTTGCTCTTGTTGAGTCGTGCGTAATGAATGGCACCGAGGGGAAAGAGAATTTTGTGAAGATAAAAGCGACAAGTCAGAGTCGTGCTTTCTCTATCGACTGTCACCGCAAGAACCTGACTAAAATACTAATTTACAATATTTATTAAGTCGGAAGTGAATTTCAACTTTTTCTTTTTATTTTTAAATTTATTTAAGAATCTTTGCTGATTCCAATCATAGGAGAATGCAAATTTTTTATACAGATGACAAAAATAATATTTTAAATAACTTGTAAAATGAAATTGAAGTAGTATATTTTAGAATTTTATTGAAACTAATAGAATTTAAAATACAGTATTTTAATTTTATATATAATCACGTAGGAGTCAAGTTCAAGCTTGTAAATAGCTCATGTTGCAATTATGATTACGGTTTCGGGAATAAGGGGGTGGATTTTTCAGAATATGCTAGGATCTATTTTAAGCATTTTAATGGCAACAGTTTATAGTGTTATATATATATATATATATATTGTGTAGAGCTCAGCTAACAACTAGGTTACTTTGTGATATTTAATTGTATTGGGTTTGACTTGGAGAGAAAGAAGCACATGTTATTTTCAAAGTTTTGTAATTTTTAGTTTATCTCCACCTTAAGTGTATTACCGTGATAGAATCACATAAAGTCAATGCATGTCTATTGCTCTTGATTCGCTTAGTTTAGGTTTGGACTTGATTTGGTGCTTGCACAAGCTCAAAGCCGAGCTCACATGACTCGATTGAACTTTAGTATGTTAATATCTTGAACCGAACATCGAGACACTTTCAAGTTTAGTATTGGATTAGATTAAGCTCTTGTAGTTAAATATTTAGCTCTGCTGGTTTTCACTTTTTCACCCATAGTTATGGTCTGTGAGATCACTAACTGCCAACACAAAAGCCAAGCTTCTTCTTCATCAAAAGAAAGTAAGCTTCTCCTTAGAGTGGATATACTCGCAGTGAAAATTTTGTTGTCTTGTTGTGTGGATAGGCTAGGCCTTTTACTGCATTTACATGATTGTCTGTAACTGTTTGCTTTTTAATTTTTCTTTTGTTGTGATTCTCTTTTCATTTCTTTTGATTCTGATGATGAAAGCAGCTCATTGACTCTATTATGGCTGTGAATTAATTGGTTTTCAGCAGGGTACTCTTTTCACTGTGCTTTTTTAATGTACAAAAGATATTATTGAGGCAGTTTGGTCAATTTTGAGAGAGGATTGTGTAATGGTACACTGAAGATATGAGGCAGATAATTGGTAACATGGGCCATGTAAATCCCAAGAAGATAAAAGAAGGGTAACAAAAAAAAAAAAAAAAGTGATTCTAAAATAATCATAGTGATTTTCATTTAAATATAATAACTAGGCCTGTTATTTAAAGAAAGATTATAATATTTAGTCTATAAAAACATTAATTCAATTAATTATTTATAAAACATGATACATGTGTGCATCATTAAATTTTTCTTACACTTCTAAGTCTTGTTCTTTTACCATATCAACTAAGTTTATTCTGTTACTGATATGTTTATTGCACAAGAATCTCTGTTCACTTTGAAAAACAATAAATCTGTTTATGCTGTACTCTAATTTCAAGATTTGTTCACGTTATTTACTTGATATGATCTGATTATCAGCCTTGTTAACTTTTTAATGCATGTCACTGTTGAAAAATAGCTTCTTCTTCTTTTTTTTTTTCTCTAAATGTTAAACTTTAAAGGGATTGTATATGTTGAACCACTTATAAATCTGACTTCTAAGCTATTAGATACTTCAGGGAGAGAAAAAAAGTAATCGTAATCTTGAGTTGAACCCGTAGTTAATCACACTTGGTAAGTAATCAAAGTATCATATGAAAAAGGGGGTGCTTAAAGAAACTCAAGGGGTCTATTAGCAATATCTGTACAAGGTATACATATCTTTTCTCCAAAGAATCCCTAAAGAAACCTGCTATTAGCAGACAAAAGTTGAAGAACAAGAACAAGAAAGAAGTTTAAAAACTGGAAAAAAAAAAAAGGGCCTAGTAAAAGATTTATTATTATAACAAATAAAAAATAATTTGCAGCCTAATAATAATAATCAGCAGAACCCACCGGTAAGTCTATATATATATATATGTATATTCCCTGTTTATGGGTTGTAGAAGTGATCACCGCAGCGACATTTCCAACCCAGAGGCTTGTAATTGGAGTACTTATTATTACTACTTCTATCTGCAGAGGCCATTGATGGCTGGTCGAGGAACTGCATGGCCTTGTTCATTGTTTTTCTGTTCGAACCCGCTGCTTCAACTCGGTTTTCACTCGGTAGATTAGAAGGCACTTGGACGGCCATGCACGGGTGACATCCATTACACTTGTTGTGGCAACTCGGCGGAGTCGATCCAAGCCTGGTCTTATCCTCGATCAACAATTCCTATAAGCAAGAAAAAAACCCAGATGCATTAACTCCATTATATAATGCACGCATCTCACATGCATACCTTTTTATGTACCCTACATACACACACATCATGGGTAAGAGAGAGATAGAAATGCTTACACGAGGAGAGGGAGGGGGCTGAAGATGATCATGGGTAAGGGAACCGAGTACAGGAGAGAGAAGGAGAAGAATGATGGAGAATGTGATAGTTTTTGTGTAAATAGAGAGCACCGAGTTGAGTGAATTCATAATGAGTTCCAGACTCATGAATATGTGGCCGAGTGAAGACCAGATGAAGCCATTAATGAAGAAACCTGAGAAAAAAAAAATGAACGAAATCCCAAATTGTACAGGTAGAATACTAGCTATTAGAGGTAAGAAAGACACGAGAGAGGAAAAAAGCTAGAAAAGAAAAATGAAAAGAGGGAAACCGGTTTGAATATTTTTCTTTGATTTATATTCTTGGCCGAGTTGCTGTGTGATCGTCAAGAGTGTGATAGCAGAAGATATTGAGTCATAAATGGTGGTTTTGCAGTGGTGGGTGTTTGTCTCTGTGTGTCAATGAGTGAAGAGAGAGGGAGTGAGAGAAGCAGATGTGGTGCAGAGCTCAGACGAGTGAAAGGAACAAGTCAGTGTAGGAAACAAATTGAGAGAATCCACGATCTGGTAATTGACCGTGAAGCCCTATACTTTTATTTGGGGGAAAAACAATTAACCTTTACATTTGCAAAAATAAACTTCTCTGTCATAATTTCAAAAAACTAAAGACTCCATTAGCTTTGTAATATTTTCTTCCCAAGAACCATGCTTATAAAATTAGGTAATTCAATTTTTTCCTTTTCTAAGTTAATATTTTTCATTAGAAAAATTATATACGAAAGTTCCATGACTAGTTTTTGATACCACTGCATTAACCGTCAATACTGTAGTATAGTGGTTAAAATATTACGACCTACTTAAATATCAAGAACTCGAATTCCAAAAAAAAAACGTAAAGTTTATTACTTTATAAATTTCGTTTAAGTAAATTATGATATGTTAGAGGAAAATAAATATTCTTTAATAGTTAAATTTTTTTAAAAAAAAATTAATTTTTTAGAACTTAAACTTAAAATGCTAGATTTTATTATTTAAGGTAATATTTGGGAGCAAATTTAAATAGTATATAAAATAGTATATATATTTAAATAGTATATATATTTTATTTTTTAATTTTAAAAGTTAAAGTTTATTAGACTTATGAAAATTAAATTTATTTTCAAGTAATTTTAAAGATATATTCAACTTAATGTGAAAAAAATACTATTTACATTAATTAAATCTAAATTATTAAAATATACACACACACGACTGCTATTCCTTTGAAAATACTGAGTCACGATTCGAGAAATGGACTCTAAGCTTCTATTAGGCCGGTACTGAGTCAGGCCCGAGACAAGAGGTACATTCTAATGTGTTAGGCTCAATATGGGAGGGGCCTGGACTCAAGTCCAAGCTTTTGACTCAGATCAACTCAGGCCCAAGATTGAACGCAGCGTAAGACTTGCTCTTCGTTAAGATTTGTATCAGTAAGTACTCGGTAGAGTGTTGTAGTTTCCCAAAAAGAGCTGCCATGGGAGACTTGGAGTGAGATCTGAACTCCTAACATTAATATATAATAATAATCGCTGTAATAGTCATCTCTCCTCCTCGGTGTCTTGAATTCATGTTATTTACTTCTCTTTCACGTTTCTGTCTCTGTCCTTCCTCTACTTTTGTTTGCTTCTCTTTCTTCTTTCTCCTGTTTTCGACCTGACACTAAACCTCCCTCTTCTTTCTTGTCGTTTCTCTTTCTCTCCACTTCTTTTTTTTTTTTAAAATCTCTGTTTCTTTTTTTTTTTTTTGGGGACGATAAGGAAGTTGTGTTTCCTTGTGGATCCAAGGAAACCCATCGGCTGGTAATCATCTTTTTCATCTTCCTGATTCTTTACTTTCTTGTACGGCTATTCTGCTACTGAAGCCTTCAGTGGTATCTTATTTTATTTTGTTTTTTCTTGGTTAATTTTGTTTACTTCTTTTTAATGCAGATAATGTGTATTGATGATGGTGGTAATCGTTCGCGGGAATTTATGGGATTTGGGTGATTGAATTTGAAATCTTCATCCCTCTGTAAGTTGTTTTTTTCATCTCTACGACTCCATAATTTCTTCCTTGAGCTATTTTCAATTCTGTGTGGTTGATTTTGATGGTTTCATCTTAAGTTTTGGAGTCTTTGGTTCTTTTACCTTTATGCATTTGTGTTTAGTTGGTTTCTGGAGATTGGGTTATTGAGTGCTTGATTTTCCTTCATTTTCCTGCACTGAAGAGTTGAGGTTTACCTTGGTTGTTCTGAAATTCTAGTTTTGTTAATTTATATGGCTTCTTCCATTTCTTTTTCTACTTGATTAAGGTGTTCTAAAATTGGTCTTTGCCTTTGATGGACAGTTGTCATATGTATATACCCAGAATTGAGTTTGTCCTAATAGCACATATGATACTAATTCTTTACTGCATTTGGTGATATTCTATACAATGCTGCTCATGCCTTTGATGTTGATCTTTTGAAAGAATAAAGTTAAAAGCGAATTTCTTGGAATGTTTAAGAGAGAAGAAATGACTCAATTTATTATTACATTATATTGTAAATAATCACTTAGGATCAGTTAAATCAAAAGCTTAAGCTAATAGAAAATAACCAAATTTATTATTTATATAATATTCTTAGCAATTAAAGAATTTGGTAGATTCCTAGCTATAAATCCCTTAAGAAAAAAACTCCATTTACCATGTATAAATTTTCTTTATTTTTTTATTTTTGGTGTAAGCTTTAGCTTTCTTTTGCAGGAAGGAAGGAAGAACACATGGGGGAGGTTTGTGAGTTCAGACAATGGGATGAGCTGATTCCTGATGCACTTGGGCTTATTTTCAAGAACCTGTCACTTAAAGAGATACTCACCGTAATTCCAAGGATCTGCAAATCTTGGGGAAAAACAGTAAGAGGTCCCTACTGCTGGCAGGACATAGATATTGAGCAATGGAGCCAAAACTGCGAGCCTGAGACTCTTGATCGTCTGCTTCATATGCTGATTACGAGAAGCTCTGGCTCTCTCCACAAGCTCTGTGTCACTGGTCTTCCTAGTGATCAGAGTTTCTCCTTCATTGCGGACCAGTAAGTATAGCATTATGAACATCATTATAATCATATTGCAGTCTGTTTTTCTTTCTTGGATGATGCAAATGAATTCTATACTAATTTCCATGCTATAAATGTGATTAGTGTATTCTTTTTAAATTCTTGATCTTTGGTACTATATATGGACCGAAAGAAAGAGATTGGTCTCCTTGAAGGAGCCCTAAATTCATACCCTTTTCAGTTATCAAACCGTGATGTTGTGTTTGGATCATTTTCCAGCGAATTCTTAGTTTTAATTTTTATGTTAGCGATGATATGCATAGTTATAAAATAATTTGTTGTGCCTGAGTTAGTATGCCTCTACCTTGGATTTTTTATGGTAGGAATTGAATGACTGCCATTAAAATTTTACTGCAAGGTTATTGTTACGTAAACACAACAAAATTATATTCTAATTGTGCGTACAGAGAGTCATAAGCAAAATTAGGACTAGAAATTGAATAGGAATCAAGCAAATGCAATCTTATGGATTTTGATGTCTCATTAGGATTCTCCGAAAAACCATCCTGCTTTTCTGTTTATCGGCCACATGCATTTTGACGGACTGAGTTATTACTGTTTACTCATTCTTCTTTGTGTTGCAAGTGCTAAACATCTTCGGTCTTTAAAGCTGCCAAAAAGTGAAATAAGCAATTCCATAGTGGAAAAGGTTGCAGGGAGACTCTCTAGCATAAGTTTCTTGGATCTAAGCTACTGCAAAAACATTGGAGCCCCGGCTCTTGAAGCAATTGGCAAAAACTGCAGACATCTTACTTGGTTGCGAAGAGCCATGCACCCGTTAGAAGTAATTGACAAGCTATCACAAGATGACGAGGCTCTTGCAATTGCATCTACAATGCCCAAGCTCAAGCACCTTGAGATGGCTTACCTGCTCATCAGCACAGAATCCGTGCTCAAGATACTCACAAACTGCCCAGAGCTTGAGTTCTTAGACGTGCGAGGGTGTTGGAATGTAAAGCTTGATGACAAATACGTCAAGAAATTCACACAGCTGAAGGTTATTGGACCGCTTGTTGTAGGTTGTTGTGTGATGAACGGCTGGGATTATTTTTCAGATTACTCCAGTTCTGAACATGAGATGTCTTTTGAGGATTGGGAAGATTACCAAGGAATGGAGGATGTAGAAATGAGGTTCTACGATGTTTTTGATTTCTACAGAGATGCTTTTGATTGGCCTGTGTCTCCTTGAGTTCTGTTTGTTTGTTTCAGTGTTCAATAGAGTTCTGACCTGTGGTTGAGAGGTCTTGTCAATCATCTTGTCCTAGATATTAGAACAGCCTCTATGACTGCTGCTTAACCGAGGTTTCTATTATATGTGAAAACCTTATGGTTTTATTTAAGGTTGCTTTTATGTAATCAGTGCAAGTAAAGCTTTTCCAAGATTGCTCTATGAAGATTGATAGAACAGAAGTTTGAATAATAGATTGCAGGCGTGACAGACTTGCTATCAACTAAGAGTGTGTAAAGTTTTTGTGCAGTGAGAGTTTCTGAACTCGAGTTTTTGTGCAATAGGAGTTTCTGAACTCAAAAATGAATTGTGAAGCTAATTACAACAATTATAGAATCCAAATGGGTTGCTAAAGATTGTTCTAATTGATGTCTTTTGGAGACTTTTTCATCCTATTAGGATTAGGAAAGTAAGACCAGATAATGACACAAATGGCTGATTACTACTTGCCTTTTTTGACTTCTTTCCATACTTTATGCTCTTTATTAATGCTATATAAACACAAAAGTCATTGTAAGGATTAAAAAGAATCACGCCTTGTGTTATTCCTTTTTATGCATTGTTTTGATTTTACTTTTTAGGTAAAAGTTCTGATTTTTTTTTTTCCCATTTGTTTGTGCATTTCTTTATTATTATTTAAAACAAGAAATTAATTCTTTAATTATTTTATTATCATACCGTAGTAAGAATTATCTTAACACAAAACTAATATAATTGGGACTCCATTTCTTCTTTCATTCTAACTTGCTAACTATGCATTTCAGCCTTTCTGAGTCTTTGCTGCCCTAAAAGTTCATGAAGACAAGATCATCAAATTCCAATCTTTATGGAATTTGATGGGTCTTTTGGTACTAAATTTTCATGGGAAGTGTGTAAATTTAATTGGGTAATAATACATGTTTTGTGAAATGGGTATACATATATATATATATATATGTGTACATCTTTGTTGGTTTATTGGACATGCATTTATTTTGTGAAACACAACTATTTTCATTTTTATTTGATCTTTTTTTCAATAATTTAATTTTTGTTATACTTTTGAAATATTTTCATCATTTGCAGTACAAATTTAAAAGCAAGTTTTTTCAAATAATTTCTAAAAATGATTTTTTTTTTTTAATGCCAAACATTGTATTTATTTAGCATGAGAATAAAATTCTGTACCTAATTGTTCGGAGATAATTCATTCCGATTGTTAAAAAATTTCAGAAAATCCGAGCACCAACCGACGCAGTTGATCAAAATATTAAAAATTAGCTGAAAAAATAAAGAAAAAAGGTGATTAAAGAAAACCCCAAATTTTCATAATCATTTTACTTGAATGAGAAGCAAAGACACAGAGAGATTCTCAAGAATGGAATTCATGAGATTTTTGACTCACCATCTGCTATCCACACTGACTGGTTGAGCTTGTGGCTTTGCTTTCTTGGCTTCTTTATGCTTCCACCAGAAAAAGAAGAGATGCCCATATCTTATAAGGCATATATACACAGATATGTATATAGATATGATGTAGATAAATAGACAGTGTTATACGTTAGGGCACCAGCTGTCCTAATTGTCACAATTCCAGAAACCAAAAAGAACCTTAGATATTGATATGCAGGAATAATTCTGCACCGTTCAGACCAATCTCTTCTCTTCCTGGGACCTCTCTTGCAATTACTAAATTGCACTCGAGCAAATGCTGTTTCACTTTTTTCTCCTTCTTTGTTTCTGTTTTCTAGCCAATCTGTTTAGAGAAATTCTACATTCTACGGTGCAGAACATCAAGTTTCTCTGCTTATTTTTTGCTTTGTCAAAATCCATGAGCAGAGATGGTTAATTGGGAAATAATAAAATCTAGGCTGAATTAGCATTACTATAACAAGTTTATCAAAACATAGATTTCAAGATGTGAACTTACAAATTTAATGGAAAAATTCATATTATAAATACTTTATAGTTTTGAATTTTTTTCCTTGGATACTTCCAGCAAGAAATATATCGAAGAGTTTGTGTTGGGCTAGCCGAAAATCAAAGTTTATCAGAAGCTTGGTCTAAAATTCCACTGCGGTGACCATACTGTAGGGGAGGTCCTGCGAAAAAATAGTTCGACACCAAGATGATAAGCTTAACACCTCTCATTCTTATTACTTTTTCAATATGAAAAGAAAAAAAAAAATGAAAAGGTCTGTCTTATTCAAATCCCCAATTATGAAATCCCTTCTCTCCCACTTCACACCTCGGAACGCACTGTTCTTATAGAGAGAAAGGCGCTTTCACATCTTCTTAATCCGAAATGACTGGGGAGAGGAAAAGTTCCTTAATCGCACGTAATGACAGATCACAGCCATATTATTAAAAGTTTGGGGTAAGAACGGGTTTCGTTCTAATGTCCGAAAATAATATTCTAAAGCTTTCGTATGTTCTCCGTTACTTGTGTGGATAAGGCCTATATTATAGAGTATATAGCTTCGATCATAGGGATCAATTTCTAGTCGCATAGCTTCATAATAATTCTGCAATGCTTCCGCATAATTTCCTTCGGATTGAGCCGACATCCGTTACGGTCGTTATTCGATTTAAAGAATTCTCCGTTTCCTACTTTACGTAAAACATTAATTGTTTTTGGCTCTTGTTTTAATAATATTTTGGCCTTCTTGTTTATCCTTAAACTTCTATATCTAACCTTTTATAAATAAAAACTTAGAAATGGTTTCTGAAAAAGTAACAGTATTATGTAAAATGAGGAACTCATAAATGACAATCACTAAGTTGGTACAAAGAGCCTACAGGTATTGAAGCGAAAAAGAAAAAGAGCTTATTGAGATGTAATTTACTCAATAACAGTAGAAGAATATGTATAATCACAGTTATCCAGTACTAAATTAGTGTAGAATGCAGTTAAGCGTTGCATTACAAGTTCTCATGAGTACAACGAATATCCCGTAGAGTAGTATCCAAGAGAATTCAATTTCACTGGCAAATTGTCTGCGAGCAAGAGAAAAGAACTCTAAATAATAACTAAATCATTTTGAACTGTTTGATTCCGGAGCTATCTAATATTCAAGCATAGATCTCAATCTCGGACATGGCATAATTGGTAGTGAAACCTATTGCTCCAGAGTAACGAGACGTGTAACATTAAAGACTCCGTTTGCCATGCTGCAATCAAGTGAGATCCTAGGTGTAAATATATTCGAACCAAAAGTTTCAACACGAGGGCACGGAGATTCACTAATTGCTTAACAAGTTGGATCGGTAAAATTCCTCATCTACAATTACAGGTGGTATATTCCATGTCCCAAGAGGATGTCCAGACATCTTCCCACCTAGAATTTCACGAGGTACATATTAATCACATCGCAAAATATTTGAGAATATCAGAAGCATTGCGGTTGTTTAGCTTGAATTTGAGAAAATTACCTTCTTTGGTGGCTTCTTCACATCTCCTTTGATATTTTAAGGACAGCTGGGGTTCCAAGGTTTTCATCAGACTGTCATATTTGTCTTCCGCCTCAGTTATATACTTAGCCTGAAAGAAAACAATTTTCCCTAGCAATTGATATTTCTCAAATATCAGAATTCGAAAGATGGCTAACTCTAAATTTCTTAAAATATTCCTCTTCTTATTCAATGGTGAATAATTAAACGTATTTATATAATAGTATTAATAAAATGTCTGAAGGCATAGTGCCTCTAACTCCGTAACTTTTATACTAAAATATAAAATCTTAACCATCAAAAGATAAAACAGTGTAAATTAATTAATAGATTCTAATTCTTCTCTGCGTAGAGGCACCATGATTCGAGGCATCGTAGAAATTCCCTATGCAACATTATTAACCCTCTAAACAAGTGAAGATTCTAGTAAATAGGTATACTCCATCCATTTATTGCACATGCATCTAACACAAGTAATCAACAGCAGTATCTACATGTAGAACTATGGATCTTGTTCCATCTTATGATCCTCATGACTTGTTTTCAAATGAAGGAACTCAAACAATATATAGAATGAAGACTTAACAAAATTCAGAATTTCATCAATGTACTAATGGAGCACTTGACATGTCCCTTAATACCAATATGATTCTATCAATAATAACTAAGCTGACTGCTAGAGTATACTAACCAGCATGGCTGGAGCCGGTGATGGCCCAAATATTTTGACAAACATGCGTAAAATGTTGAAATTATTCTCTAACACATCATCCTACATAGAAAAAGCATAAGCTTTGACAAGATATGGACGAACGAAATGTGATGAAATAGTAAGAAGTGAAAAGATTATATTAATGAACTTACCTCGTAATCAAATCTGCAAAATTATCATGAACACTTGGAGGTGGCTAAAACTGACTTCATGCTCGCATCATGAATTATAGAAATTAAAAATTAGAGGGATTAATTATCCCAAGATAATGTAACAAATAAACAGTAGTCCAAAAGTATCTAAGTGAATCTGGTCAGGCCCTTGGAAGTCTTCAGGCTGCATGTTTCGGATGCTCAACCAGAACCCTATCCTCTGGTAATGGCATATAACCATATATTTCCTTATTCATTTCAAAGCAAATAGGTGTACCTTTTATAACAGCTTAAGTTCATCTCTGATTAAAATAAATAATTTGAAAAACTTAAAAAGTAGTACTTACAGATCATCAGAGACCTCTACCAGGAATTCTGAGATTGATAAAAATTCCATATGCAAGTCATTCACCTTCACAAGAGCTTCAAAGAAGATTCAATTAGCTTAATAGAATACAGCTATTTATTCTGAAATATTTAACAGAATATAATTAGTTAAATCAGGATTACAACACAACTAGCATTCTTCGTAATGTGAAATAGCAAGAATTTGATCTACGGTCTTTTCACTTTCTTAACACTACTGAAGGATTTTCTTTAGAGGAAAAGAAAGTAGAATAAATTTGCAAAATCTTTCCAAAAATATGCTATAATGATGATTGTGACAGAAGTTGAGTCACATATTCATGCTGTTAAAGGACCATCAAAACCAAGAAACTATTTGTTGAAACAAGGAGACTGTTAATTAAAAAGCTGGAAAGAAAGAATGTGATAAAAATGTTGCAAGAGAGATGATAATAAGTGTATGAAACCAATAAAAAGAAAAGGCCTCAAGGGACAATCACCTCTTCTCCTCTCAACTGGAATAAAAGAAGATTCAGCACCCGATAATCAAAGGACTTCAAGCGAATTGCCCTCATCACATCTTCAAAACAGATCTAGGCAACAAAATCTTGAAGAAAACATGAATAAAGAAAGAAATTATCCATGTTAACGGTAAAATATATGACTCTGACAGAACAATAGCTGATGAAGATTATTTAAAAAAAAACAATAAATGATGGATGAAAATTAATAGATAAAAGATAATTTACACAACAACTAAGACAAATACCTCCTGTTTGCTCACTAGTGCACTGCAAAGCTTTCTTTCTAGTGCCCAGTATTCTTCCCCAGACTTAAGCTCTTGTACAATCCTTAACCCATTGAACAAATATAGAAATCAGTCATCACCTCCTTGTTCTCCTTCTGAAAACAAAAATGGAAGCCTTTACAACATTTACCTCTCAGTCAAAAGGCCATTACATTTAAGCAAAACTTCGAGTGGTCGGAATGGACTAGTTTCGAATGAAGCCATGAACTTAGCAATCCAGCTCTGATTTGTTTCCTGCACCTCGAGAGAAATATATATATATATATATATATATTAGCTGCCAACTGAAATTTTGACAAGTCAGAGAATTTTTATTACCAAGTTCGCCCAAAGTTCTTAGCAGTACCATTTCATGCTCTCTTTCTAAAACATCATGGCTGGCTCTTACACTCATCATCTTCTCATTCAAACTATCCAGCTGCAGCAACAAAATTAAGATTGTTTACCAGAATAACACTGTAGTAAATTGTATAGTTTAAAAGATCCAGAGATAATGTTAGTATCGAAGATGCACAGAACTAACGAAAATTTACAGAATGTTTCTAGAATCAAATGAAAAATAACCAGGCATGACATCTTGTTAGAATGTTACCTGATAAATGTAACTTTCGGTGAATGAAAGCACAGGCAAATATTTGAATATTGAATGTGGATTGTTTATATCCATTCCGTGAAACATAAAATAAGATCTGCACTGTTTCATTCGTAGCACAGTCAATGTCAGGCCAAAATCATTGAATATACATAACACATTGTTTGCAAACAGGTATTCAAGCATACATGTCTGTGGAGCTAACAGTTTTGCTTTCCCTTTTAACACTGGTAGTTTTCACTCAATTTCCATATCCATGCAGTTTCCCTTCCAAATCTGTAATTCTGACCAAACAAACCCCTAAATGGGATAGCAATATGTTCCCACCTACTACTGAGAATATAATTGAAAAAAAAATAGTTGCGTTGTTCATTGTTTGCCTTCAGAAATTTTTTTGTTTGTGGAAAAAAAATAGCATGGTAAGATTCATCCACAAGCACCAAAAGGGTGCAAACCCGTCTACTTGTTTGCCTCAGAATTTAAGTTAACTAAAACAAGAAGGTTGAAATTCGTAGTCTGGATTTTGTGTTGTTATCTGACCTTGAATCAACTGTTATCACGACCAACATTCGAAATTTAATTGGTCCATACTTGTAACCACTGCCTAGCATTTTATACGTACTTTACAATAAGAGAGAAGTTAAAGCTTACAAAATCTTCAAGAGTAGAATTTGCCCTTTGCATGGCATCCAACCCCACCATTGCTACATCTTCATGATTAGGTGCCGATGAACTATGGCCCATCAGATCTGAGAAGTGCATTAAACATAAATCCAATATGATAGACGGGGAAAGAATCAAGGTTGATAATGATTTAAGATTTTATACATAAGAATTACAAGGGAAGATAATCCAATGCTATAATCAATAAAAAATTTGAAACTCCAAAAAAAGAAACCTTCAAAGACAACAGATTCAAGCCAAACAACCTGTATTCTTGTTCTGTGATCCATGTTCTGGACCAAGCCATGTTGATGCCTCCTCAAGGAACTCAACTGATATCTGCTAAAGCAACGAATTAGCAGCGAAAATCAAATGTTAAATTGGATCCACACGAAGAAGAAAACTTCTCACTTTCGGTAGATACTCGGAAACCAAAGAGAGCTTCTTGACCATATCAAGTTCGCCGGAAGGTTGTACCTTGAAAATATTAATGAATTCGATTGAAATCCGGCTTGACTATGAAGATTAATCAGATGAGAATGTGAGAGTGACGAGTAGACAAATAAGCAAATTCATCAAGGATTTGATTACCATGAGGAGGATTAGATTAGCAATGAAGCGACTTTGGTCGTTGTTGGAAGAGGTGGAAGAAGAGAGCAAACTACAAGATTGCATGAGGGATAATATCTTCTGCACTTGTTCCAGCTTCCTTAGTTCTTCCATTTCTCTCTCTTTTTCTCTTTTCTCCTTCACTTTGTCTTCTCTGCGTGTACTGTGTAATGAATCATTCAATCGTCTCTGAAACAAACCCCTGGGGTTTAAGAGTGTCTATTCTATCCCAATGCGACAGCGTTTTGGGTTTTCCTTTTCACTTTGTTTCATTATTCATAAATCTCTGTACTTTTGCATTGCACATCCAAGATCTTTAGCATCAAACTTTCTGTAACAGACTTCTTATTCTGGGTGATCATTGTTTATATAATTTCCAACAAATTTCACTAATTTAAAGATAAAATGAACTTATATAATATTCTTTATTACTTATTTTTAGCCTATAAATTAATAATTGTGTAATTATTAATTTATAAACAAGTAACAAAAAATTTAACTTGAATTTACACAAATTTTTATTCCATTTATGTTGAATCCTTATTTATATCTTATAAAATTAAAAATTTAAACCAAACTTATTCTCTAAAAAATATTACCAGCCACCAATAAAAGATGGAAATAAAATGAAACCTGCTATGGTACATTTGACTTTTGGAGAATTACAACACAAGAACAAGGAGGTTAGTTTTACTGTCAATACAATGCTATGCTCATCCAGGAATAAAATTCTATCATTTATTTCCACTTCTGTTGCAGACTCAATAAACCTGGAACTTCTGCTCTAGCTGAAAATAGGAAGCTTCAGGACATAGGTACATTGGCATCCAGAAAAGCTAACCGGATTCCCTGGTGGAGCAAGGATCGAGAGAAGTGACAGCATGCTGTGAACAACATATTAGAATTTATTTGTGAATTGCTTCTGGTTCAAAAATCCTACACTCTTATCATTGTTTGGTTCCCTTGCTTGTGCTGGCTGATTGAGCTGGGTAGTCCATTTGTTTAACCTCCTTGGTCGAGGTGCCTGTTTCAATTGTATCTTGCTCAATTGGTGCTTGCTTGGTTTCCCATAACTTCCCAGTTTTTCCAATTGCAAGTATTAGCTCAAGCTGTTTTTGTTGTTGCTCCTGCAAAACACTCAATACAGGAAGTTTAAGTCAAATTAACAGCATGGGAGCTCCAGCAATGGAAATGTTAGGGTCTTAATCAGATTTTGGTTGAGAAATCACAGCTTTGGCAAATACATGGTGAAAATAAATCCGAATCAGTTTTGTGAAAGCTTTTTCAAAGAGTGTCCAGAACCACTGCTTGATGCCTCACTGCTAACATAGTTCTGGAAAGAAACTTGTTGAGCATTCTTCCAAATTCAGCATAAACAATGGAATTTTCAGATTTTTGTCACCCTCTATATATGGGTTTGCTCAGAACGCAGAGCTCTGGTTTAAATTCAAATGAGACTAAGGTGTCAATCTACACTGTGTCTCAACATAAGGGTTATATATATGCACTTCAAGTGGAAATCTATCATCTTTGAGCTGACACAAGTTTCTAGAGTAAGTAGAAACCTACTCTAAATCTCTAGCAGAGAACAATCCACAATATATGTCAAATAGATCTGACCTCCCAGTTTAAATAACCAAACAAACACATCAAATAGTTAATCAAAATACCTGCATTGCCAGCAAAACCTTCTGAATTTCACCAAGCTCTTTCTCTAGAATGTCCTCTTGTGCTGCTAATGCACGCGTGGCCTCAGAGTTCTTTTGAGCCAAAGCTGCAGTCTTCAGAAATGAATAGACTGTAACGATTTAAGCTAATTCAATAAACATTTTGCAAAACAAATCAGTGTACAGATATTCAACTTGCATACCTTCGATCCCCATTAACAAGACAACAATCCCTAGTCATCTATTTGTCTTCGGTACCATCAATCCTGCTCTACAACTTTCCTCTTAAAAAAATAAGTCTCCGCAAAATTAGGTCAATGCTCCCATATTAAGGCTAACATCTTCAGTTTTTTTTCTGGAGGAACTAACCTATCAGTCAAGTAAAAAGGAATACCCCAAGTAAAACTAACAGATGAAGACTTCCCACCTATCCCATCAATATATATACATATACATTTGCAATATATATAGGTGTATGTATATATATATATATATATATCTATATGTGTGTGTTTGTGTGTCCATGTAACGGAATTCGACAGATAATGGCTCCTGGGTATTTAAACCAAAGCATGCCCAACATACCCTTTATCTAGAATCGTGAATGAGAATGGCCCAAGACTTTTCCCTTATGTCAAAAACTGGACACTACAGTTGTAGAGGGTGGGAAAGAACAGAGGTTCAGTCTCAATAATAGAATGAACTACCTTCTTGAGCTCATCTAGTATGTACCAAGGAAACTTAGAGACTAGGAAATAAGAGTAAGAGACACCTATCAGGCTAAAATATTTTACTTTTAATGCAAGTTACAAGCAAATCAAAAGTTAGAAGCCTCAACACCTCATAGCAAAAAACAGGCAGTGCAGTAACTACATTTGCATCAAAAGCCACAGAGATAGCATACGATATATTAAAATATTTGCTCTTTGAATCTCTACTCCATAATCTAAAAGAAACTAATGAAAATGCCCCCAAAACTTTAACTCATTTTCTTCTTTCCCACCTTGGCTTGTTACTATCCGCATTCTTAACTCTCTGCATTATCTTAAAATTTTCAGCCTACTACATTTTTTAACTGGTGCTGAATTTAGCATTCAAATGTACAGGTAAAGCATCCACCTTTCACTCTTTCCATTTCATAGATTCACTCTGATTTGATCCCAACTTCCCATTTCACATATTCACTTCTATCGCTAGGAAGAATGTGAGATGAGTCATCAATTGGGAAAATAATACCCTATTTCATTCTACTAAAACTATTATTCTCCCTCGTTATCTCCTTCCAAACTGAAATCGTTACCAACAAAAACCATCGTTGAAAGGAAACAGAACTTTGCAGCATTACCTCATCAATAGGCTGTTTCAGAGCCTTTCTCGTGACCCGGAACCGAATACCCAGTTTCTCGAGCTGCCTGGATAAGACCCGAATAATGGTCGCGGAGCTCTTCAAGTCCTCTTCCAATTTCTCAATCCTCTCGATCAAATTCAACCTCTCTCCCCTCGCTGATTCCTTGCAAATCCTCCTCCATTGGCGCCTCCTCATCCACGCCCCGATTACGACACCAGCCACTAACCCTAAAGCCCCGCACGCCATAACCCTCTTCCCTATTTCACCCAAGACAGCATTTCTCGACCCGAAAATCACGTAATTCACCACGAACCCTACTGAAATAACTGCCGAAGGAATGATGCACAGCAACTCAATGAAAGAGAGAAAGCTATCAAAATCGAGATAATCGAAATTGTTATTCGACTGAGTAGTTGAAGCACTAGAGGAGTGGAATTCGTATGCTTTGAGAGGAGAGGGGTGAACTCTGGATTGGGGAGGTTAGGGGGGTTATTGTTCCAAAATATGAAACATTGATATGGAGAAGTGGCGGGCGGTGATTGAAAGAGGGAGATTAGGGCTCTTGAAAGAGGGCTTGTGGTGGTGAAGTAGAGGTTGCTGCGTGTCGGTGAGCTTGTGAAGAAGTGTTGAGAAGGAGCAACATTGTCGTTTCGTATGCGTATCGGCTGCGTTTTACTCTGTATATTCACTATACTACAGTTTTTGTTAGATTTGGATTCTGAGGGAGAGCCTGTTGTT